TGCAGTGAACCACACAGGCTGCGTGCAGTGAACCACACAGGCTGCGTGCAGTGAACCACACAGGCTGCGTGCAGTGAACCACACAGGCTGCGTGCAGTGAACCACACAGGCTGTGTGCAGTGAACCACACAGGCTGCGTGCAGTGAACCACACAGGCTGCGTGCAGTGAACCACACAGGCTGTGTGCAGTGAACCACACAGGCTGCGTGCAGTGCACTATACATTCCATATATTCATATTCATGGATATTCATAGCATGTAATGTGTTAAATATAATATATAAATATACATAATAGAATATATGCATAATACTTAGATTATAATGGATAGGTATGAAAGTTGGAACTAAACGCCTAATAAACACAGGATATAAAACATATATGTACATAATGTTAAATGTTCTATAGGTACATGTTAACAGATTAAAAATTTTAATACAAATAAAGAAATAAATATAATCCACTATATTGTCATATTTAGAATACAATCACAATAAATATAGGAAACCAAAATTTGTGCATACAAAATCAACTCAAAAAATGTAAAAAACTAAAAAAATCTGAAAATCTCAACTTGAACTCTCAAAAAATGGGTCAAAATGTGGAACAAAGAACATGAAAACCTTAAAATTAACAATTTTAATTTATTTTTTATTTTTTGCAAATAGGTACGGTACTGTATGCCTCAGTTCAAAAATCTGTAACTTTGAAGCTACTAAGGGCAATCCAGGTGAATTTAGTTGGCATTTCTTTTGCTTTTGAATTTATCTAATGATGCATACAAGTTCTTCTATGCAGAGAAATTTTGTTACAGAAGAACTTTAGAACAATAATTTTGAAAATAAAAGTATTGCTGTAATTGTATAATATAGTATATAAAATTAGAGTATAATATAAAATCGGCATAACATAATATAAAAATGTATCTAATATAAAGGTATTTATAACCTAAAAACATAGTATGACAAAAAAATATAGGAAATATAATATAAAAAAGTATATGTATGCAATATAAATGTTCCTTCAAGTGGGGTGACTTTGGCCACCAATAAAACAGAAACAAATAGCAGCAAAACAAAATAATAAAGGTTGGCCAAAGTGCCTAGGGTGATTTTGGCCTCCAATTTGACTTTGGCCAACGTTTATCATTTAGTTTTGCTGCTATTTGTTTCTGTTTTATTGGTGGCCAAAGTCACCCCACTTGACAGTATACCTATAGTAATATAAAAATTATAATATAAAAGTATTTATTATACAAAAATATTATGTAAAATATTATATTATATAGTATCATATTATACAATATAATATAAAATAATATGAAAGTATAGGCATACAATATATAAGTAACATACCTAAGATAACTCACCTTGAGCAGCAGCAGCAGCAGCCAACAGCAGCACAAACAGCAGCAAGCAAGCCATGCTCACACCGGCTTTGTTATAATAAATAACATTCAATGATGATTCATGATGACAACTTGATGATGTATGAACACTACTAAGACTTCTCCTCCTCTCCTGCTTCATCAATAGGCCTTCACGGCTTTCATTATCACCAAATAAACCAAAAGTTCTGGGCACGCCTAAACTTCTGTCTTTGGGTTCATCTCGTCTGTAATATCTTTTGGGTTTATTCATGCCATTTAAACTATTAAATGCCTTTTTTCTCTTCACTGTTACAGTATCACAAAAATTGTTTGATTTATGCAGGAATGTTTCATTTGGTATGCCAGGCCCCATCAGCGGCAGCGGCCCAGGCCTTGACGGGGACTTGCGTACATGCAGGCAAGGGTGCGCCATGCCTGACACTTGACTCGCAAGACAGACGCTTGGTTGTGTCAGAAACTCATTAATAACACATTAATAACCACATTAATGACCTCATTAATGACCTCATTAATAACCACATTAATGACCCATTAATAACCACATTAATAACACATTAATAACCACATTATTAACACCACTCTAAGAAGTAGCAGAGTTTGGAACTGGTGCACATTAAAATGTTTGAGGAGAGGCTGACATTGAATGAGAGCTCTGCTAAAATAACACCAATTTAAGCTATGATAAAACAATGGCAGGCTGTAGCCATCTTTTGACCTGAGGAGATATGAATATTTCAGAACTTGCATTCAAATAACTTTATTATAATATTAAATTCATAAAAATTTTAGTTCTAATACAACATCTGTTATATCAACACTCTTCATAAAAAATGCTAATTAAAATTCACCATTGGAACAGTGCTACGCCAGGAAGGAATAGCTTGTGGCATCTCAAAAGTTAACTTTCAAAAAGGCTTGCAAAATAAATATTATTTTATTTTAGTGGTACCTATATCAAGCACTGTGTTGGTAAATGATCCATGCTCAAGTAAATACAAACTGCAATGAAAAAGTAGGTATGTATACTATAGACAAAATGGAAGAAATTCATTATTGTGTTGAGGAATGAATGGCTTTGTTACACTCACACACTTGTTTATCTCACAATGTAATAAAACTGCTGCAGAGAATAGTGAAGAATGCAATATCTTAGACATTTAGTGAAGAATCAAGAAAAAACTTATATACTTGACTGATGAATAATTAGGAATCAGAGGCAAGTGTCTGGTGAGGTTGTCAATAGCCTCAATACTGGACAGACAACCATGGCAGAGTCGATGTCCAGACAAAGGCAGGGAACTGGGGTTGATAGAGAACTTTATTGTTAACCACACTTGCTAAATTAGTCTATAATGTAAATTCCGTTGTTCAAAATTTAGTTCCTATAAGTTTTTGAAGTTTTTAGAGACCAATTTGGAACATCTAGGAGCCCAGGCTAGAATGATTAGCACACAATGGGCAAAATTAGAAAAGAAACATATATCGTACAACCGGACTGAAAAATACAATCCAATACTTTCATTACCAGTAAAATCTATGATATGCACTTGCATTCAATAAAAACATGTATATAATACTGCTCAGATCATTTCAATGTTTTATTACATAGTACATACAGTTACATAAAATATAATTCAACATTTTGTTTTTGTTACCAATTTTTTTTTTTTTTTGTCATTCTACAAAATAGTCTTACTACTGGAAGGTTGCAAAGTAAATTTTAATTTCAGAGAGGGTACCTATATGTGTAGGTATATATAAATACTTTATTTATATTGAATACATTGAATTTCAAACAAATTCATCAAGTTATTTCTGGCAAATCTCTGCTGCACATCTGCAAACAGGGACGCCTGTCGGAGACCACCACTGCCTTGCTTCGAATGGACTATCATGATCCCTTCCCTGAAGAACGTAGCCTACAACACATCTTGACCGTAACATTATCAGCCGCACGCCACCAGACAGATCACATCCATTGAATTAGATCAATCAGCCCACAGGAAAATAAGCCTGACGTCGTATGGCCCAGCGTCGTCTGTCAACATGCGAAAAAATTTTACTCCCCCCGGACGGAGCGCGCCGGAGCCGTCCGTATCTGTCCCGCGTGTCGAATTAGCCCACGGTCGAACGGCCACGCAACATACGACAATAAATTTTGGAACAGAACTATGCTATCAGGAACCTAACCTGAGATGCTGTGAGCTAAAAGTTATGTAATTTAGCAAAGCTGCGGAAGTCACTCGCCGGCGGACGATAGAGTTTGGAACAGAACTATGCTTTCTGAAACCTAACCCCGGATGTTGAGCTAAAAGTGACGGTCTGATGGTGCATTGCAGGATGCATGCAGTTCCACTGGCAACCTGGGCTGGTTGGTTGCAGTCCGTTGTCCGCAAGTTACAGTTCGAGCTAAAGTCAGGGTGTGAAGTGATGATTTGATGCAACGTTCAGTGGTGCATAACAATTACTCTCTGGGCTATACGCTTCAGAATGTGGTGGCGTAAAGCTCCTAATATTTAAAGCAAGAAGATGTCACGGGCTGGTTACCGACGGATGGCTTAACCCATTAATGAAGAGAATTATTTTCTGAATTTTTTTTCGGTTCCTTGTGAGAATATTATCATTTGTGATGGTAATAAGCAAAAAATATGTTCATATATTTATTTTTCGTTGTATGTGAAAAATTATAGCTTGGTTCCATATGGAACCGCTCGGCATTAACATAACGTTACATAATTGCTAGTGGCTGCGTCATCTGAGTTATCTGAATCTCAGTATGTTTCGTTTGTTGCTGCTTCTGTGAAAGGTTCAGTAGCAAATATTTGATCTTCGTGTTATTCTTCTCTCGAAATCTCAATTATTTCATGTGATGATCTGCCAAAAATACAACTAGAAAAAAGTGACTCGGATGAAAAATCGTATAGTGCTCTACGTACCTACTTCCAAATATATCAACTTTCGGGAAATATATACTCCCAACAGCTCTAAAGATAATAGTTCACTAACAAATAACAGAAAGACTGTTGATCTAAGATCTAAATAAATAATTTCTATGTACAAACAAGTGTTTGAAATACAATGCGTAACTATATCACAAAGTAATCTACTGGGAAAATGATATGACTGGAATGCTTACACTACTGCCGAGCGGTTCCATTTGGAACCAGACAAAATATTTCATGATCTAAAAGACTTTAGAAACATTATATCACGTAATACCATATACAGAATTAAAAGTACTCTCTTTATCGATAAAATTCTGCATCTAACTTATAAATAATATATTCTTGGAACAAACTACTTACCTTTCACTGCAATGATGTCAAGCCCTTCTGTCTGACACCCGGTACTTACAATCTTTTAATGTTAACTGAGCAGGGAGTAGTTGGCGCAGCAGAACCAAACGTTGCCAGAACACGTCCAAGATGTGTATCAAACCTACGCATCCACTAGTATATTGATTTGACCATACAATTTTATTATGAATCCATTTTTCTCCGCTGGTTCCAAATGGAACCGCTCGGCATTAATGGGTTAATCCGCGGCTGATTGGTGGTCATGCGGAAATATGCTAGGCGTTCCTTTCAAGGCTGATTGGTGCACAAATTTAGTGGCGCATGGCTGCGTACCCCTGCAAACAAACTTACCTCAAATATTGTATTCAAAACATGAAATATTTTGGTTAAAAACAATCAATTCACCAATGATTTTAAAAATTTCGGGAGGATACGGTATATGCCATTTGTCTTGTTTTGAGCTAGAAATTACACAAGGACTATGGGAACAAGTAAAAGTGTCCACAAGTAAGGGTATTTTTTAAATTCATTTACTGGTGGCTTTTGCTTAATTTGCTTAATTTACTTAATAATGCTTTTGTATGGGCTTGCAGACAGCAAGCCCAACTAGAAAAGAGAAGCCAGCCACAAAAGAGACCAAATTCATGCTTGCAGACACTGGTTTCTATGGCTCTTGCCTATTAAATTTGTTTTTACTGGTTTTTAGATCCCTTGCCTATTTTATTTCATTAAGAAATAAGAAAAACAGCACATTCTTGTCTGCAGTTTTATTAAACAGCCCATAAAACAATAGTTATCATATGCCATTTTTGAATAATGCTGCCTGATGTTCCTAAATTGACTAAATTGAGCAGGCTACAGCCTGTAGTAGCGTCCAAATTCCAAAAAGAATCAATCATTCATATACCTAATATATATATTAAATCTGAATTCACCATCAATACCACTAACATTACCACAGCACTTATGTTGTCTGGCAAAAGAAATAATTTATTTTGTAAACATAGCTGAGCCATAAGTTTCTAGGATGTTCACAACATGATAACAATTTTATATTTATTATGTGTTAATCAGCACTTTAAGCCATAGTTTTGAATTCCCAATTTGCAATGTATAATGCGCAAACAGGATTAGAATTTTCCTACTTGTTTCTGAAATGTCGCGGCTTCAATGTGACAATTTTTCATACATTTGGAATCTTGCAGGAAGTTGCAGCCCAATTGTGAATTTTGTTAACAATTAAATAAGAGGCAATTCATCTGGCAGAAATCTCGCAGTTCCGGAAATGGTTGGAAAGCTCTAGTCACGGCCCTAAGGTTAGAAGTTTTCCATGATTGTGCACTAACAAATTTCTTCAAGTTGCTGAAACAAATGATCGTTTCACTGGAGATTTTTATAAATGACAGGTGAAAATAGTTTTTTTTTATATTTTCAACTAAATAAATTCAGAAAAAGGAGAAGGAATGGGTAAAATTTACAGGATGCAGGGGTGGCTTTTTGGCCTTTTGCCCAAATTTCCAATTATGCTGACAACTTGACAAGGATTATATGGTATTTATTGACAAATGGCAAATGGCAAGTAAGGTCAGGGTCACCAAGGTGCAGTAGACAGTAGCTGCTAAGTGACAACTTGTGTGTCATTGAAAGAAATGTTCAAACAACATCAATTAGTTTTATAGGAGTAATTTATTATCTTGCTATTCCAAGTCAAGTGCATTTACAATTAAAATTTAGGTACCATTAAAGCATTTAAGTGTTATGATGATGATTCATAATGACAACATTATGATTGTGAATGCATGATGATTGATGACAAAGTGCATATCCTAGTATAGTAGTATTTCCATGTTAAATATTGTAGTCTGGTTTTCTGAAATTCTGATCCTCATGATTACTTTAATATTTTATTTTGGCATTGCAAAGAAACATGTTTCAAAAAAGACTGCAATCAATTCCTAATATATAAAATTTGCTTAAAAGAATTCAATTCAGCAGATATATTGTCATTAAACACAAGCATGAAAAACTTAAGAACTTGAGCTTTCCCGCCATTTCCGGAACCGTGCAATTTCTGCCAGATGATTAACTCCTATCTAATTGTTAACAAAAGTGCAGGATTGGGCAGCGAGATTCCAAACGTATTAAAAATTTGTCCAGTTGGAGCCGCCAGATTTCAGAAACAAGTATGAAAATTCAAATCCTGAAATTTAATTTAAGCATATTGGCTTCAAACCCTTTACTCAACTGGTCTGAATGCTGGCTCTAACACAACACAGGACAGGAGAAGAGCTCAGTCCTACTCCTACTGTGAACTGTCCTCAGTCCTGTCCTGGTCTCATCACTTTCACTCTTTACTTTCATCAGTTTCACTGTTTCATGATGCGTCAAATCCGTCAACTGTCAACTACCTAGTAACGGCCTAACGGGCCAGTAACCTAGCATACAAGTCTACAACTAGGTAGTATGAATTACGATGCCCGCGGCGCAGATCACTCAGCCTCACTGCAATGACGCTGACGCCTGACGGCAATGTTAACATAACGAAATAAATTATTAATCAGGAAAATATTAATTTTTATCGGGGATATTGGCTATACAGCAAGCAATTTGCGATTGGCATGAGAGTTATTGCTCTTAATACGCCAGGCCGTAGTGCACCACTCCACTTAAAAAATAAATGGCATCCTTGTTTAGTTGTTACCGGGCGCTGTTTTCTCGAGTGGATTAGAAACTTTGGCCGAACGACACGTTTATCGTTTAATAACATAAAATTAAAACGTCAGATTGCATATGAAGTAACTTGTTAACTTTCTTTAGTAAACAGTAGTTAGAAAACCACCGAGAATTCAGTAAATAATAGTCTCGACTCATCAATAACTCAGACGCGATTCGACACAACCACACTTACAAAAGGTTCCTGATGCACTGAGGGTAAATAATAATGATAAATTCAGAATCTTTTGGGAACGTTAAAGTTTCGTGCAAAAATTTACATTATAGACGGTCGTAACGTAGAAATTATTTGAAATTAGTTTTTAATCTGGTAACATAAGTCATTCAATTTTATGTTTCAATATTCATGGATATTTTAGTTCTGATTTTTCCTATTTCCTCCGCGAAATGACCATATAAATTGAGACGCTCAATGCATAATTGTTGCTGGAATGAAAACATCCTGAGATCAATTAATATTCAATTAAAACACTCAGAATCTGATTTTCACGATAAATCAATGAAGTTACAACCAAATAATACACGCAAATTCAACGTCTGAGCAAATTTAACATAACTTTCATTATGGTTGCTGTACATGTGTTAAATTTTAGAGACCGGCCACGAGTCCGGCCGTACTTCGTTTTCAGTTAAAATGAATAAACGGATTTTTTAATCAAGTTGACAATTCACAAATCCATCAATACTGAACGGATTTGCTCGAATTTGGGAATGAAACTACAGAATCGACACCAAATGGATCGACACTTCTCCGAATTCGCTTGCGGACTCAAGCGCATAACCTGACTTTATGCTCAGCTTAACAACTCATAAGTCATTCAATACTGAACTGATTTGCTGGAATTTTGGAATATAAGTAGGTATTATCAATACGCGGCGATAGAAATTATTATAGATTTTTACAATACCCTCTTTTCAATTTAAATGAATATACGCATTTTTAAGCATCTTATCACCTCATGAGTCCTTCAAAACTGAATGAATTTGCTTGAATTTTGGAATATAAAGGCGTATTATTAATTTGGTTATTTTATTTATATACACGGAAGACTCTCACCTCTCACCTCACCACGCATAACTTTGTACACTTGAAACCGATCTTGACCTAATTCTCAACAACGCATCTGAATCAAAATACGCCTTTAACATGCTACCAAATTTGGGTTAACTTGCGTGGAATGTACGAAAGAAAGCCAAGTTTTAAGTTCGTACGTGTATGTAAATAATATCAACTTAGTCCTGGTGCGGCGGGATCAAAGAATTAAAATAGTTGCTGCTTGAAATTGGGTAACAGAAAACGGGTTCATTCGCTGAACGCAGTGATACTGATCTTTGACAGGGAACAGGCTGGGAGGTGCTTTGTACACCACAAGTCTTAAAAAACCAATTATAAAAAAGTAATACTGAAACTGATGCATCTCAGTTGGGCGCCTGACGCCGTGAGTTGAGGGTGTGGTTAGTCATGTGTAGGCTGAAAATTTAAGAAAAACTTTAGTTATAAAAGACATATGCTGATTTTAGTAACTTTCTATGATGACAATATTTCGATTGCTTCCAAAGCCTTCAGTAACTATGCGCAAGTTTCCTCGCCTAACAATTTGTCGTCAGTAAACGTCGTGGAATTCCCACATGTTGACTTTATAGCGTCCTTGATATGCCGAGCTCCGCGTGGTGGTCGTCACTGATGACAATAAACTTATCAGCGTTGATTATTATTAATAATATCAACGTTACTTATTCCGTTAGACCTGTCGCCGATACCCGGATGTAGTCACAGTTTATTGCCTGTCTCGAACACGCAACTCACTGCTCCAGATTTGTACTCTGAACTTTATATATATAATGGCTCTGCTACTCTGACGTGTTGTGGCACCTGACGTGTAGTGGCACCTGACGTGTTGTGGCACCTGACGTGTAGTGGCACCTGATGTGTTGTGGCACCTGACGTGTAGTGGCACCTGACGTGTTGTGGCACCTGACGTGTAGTGGCACCTGACGTGTAGTGGCACCTGACGTGTAGTGGCACCTGACGTGTAGTGGCACCTGACGTGTTGTGGCACCTGACGTGTTGTGCACCTGACGTGTTGTGCACCTGACGTGTTGTGCACCTGACGTGTTGTGCACCTGACGTGTTGTGCACCTGACGTGTTGTGGCACCTGAAGTGTTGTGGTACCTGACGTGTTGTGGCACCTGACGTGTTGTGGCACCTGACGTGTAGTGCACCTGACGTGTAGTGGCACCTGAACAGAACTATATATACGCGTGTGGTGCCAAGCTATGTACACTGTGCACACTGTTTATATAGTATACATTGTATGAAGTATATGTATAGATTTATACAATTTGCCATTATATATAGCTTTATGCACTGTGCCGGTACACGTAATTGGGTCATATCAGTATTAATAGTTGTTATCATCTTATACGTGGCTTGGTTACTTCTGAATTATTGTATCACAATTATTCGAGTAATAAATTTATTCTCCCAACCTTTCCTCGCTACCTCGGATCGTACGAATAACTAGGCAATGGAGGTAATTTATGTCTGCCTGGAAGTTATGTTGCATTACAGGGAGCAGCAAGCCCATAATTTCCTGATGAAAAATATACGCAATCCAAATTGCTGGGCCCTACAGACATGGAAGAGGTGGAGCTGAGGTTCCATACCTGAGGGTAAATGTTCGTCCCATGGATATATATGGAACTGTTAACGATGTGATGACGTCATCAGTACACGTAATCCGTATAATATAAGTTTTAATGTAAGATATAATGTCTTATATATGTCTAACGATGACGTCATCGTGTCTTATATGACGTCATCACAGTATCCGTAAAATATAAGTTTTAATGTAAGATATAATGTCTTATATAAGTCTAATATGTAATTTCGCTAGTTCATTTGTCATATTTCAGGCATAATTAAGTCATAATGGCGGACGACGCGGCCATCGTGCGCAAATGCAGCATATTAGAGTCCATGATGGACATGCTACAGTCACATGCACAGGCCATGATAACATGTTACTGGCTGACCTTATCAACGACTGTACCCGTCACCGAGGAGACTGTCATGGCCGCCTTGAGGCAGCTGTACAGGTGAGCAGCGACTGTACCCGTCACCGAGGAGACTGTCATGGCCGCATTGAGGCAGCTGTACAGGTAAGCAGCGACTGTACCCGTCACCGAGGAGACTGTCATGGCCGCCTTGAGGCAGCTATACAGGTAAGCAGCGACTGTACCCGTCACCGAGGAGACTGTCATGGTCGATATTTTACTATTAATCACATTATTATTTATTATTAATCTCATCTCTTTTGACATGTAGGGGAAGTTTACTCGTGTGTTGGTTATTCACTCATTCTCTTTATTCATGCCATTGTTTTTGACTGGGGTTACTATATAATATAATGGAGTCTGCCTTGAAGAAATTGTCACAGTTTGCTGCAGGTCTCGAACACGCAACTTGCTGCGCATATTTTGCTGTACTTAACAGCCGGCGAACTTACCAATTTAGACCAAAATTTCCAGAGTTCTATACGGGTTTCAAACTCAAAACTCGTTGCTCAATCTTAACTTTTCGGCATCATCGCAAAAATATATGTATTGAAATATGCTCTCGAAATATCGGTCTCGCTTGGTCACTTAATTATCGAATGATTTTGTTAAATCAGGAAAATTTTTCCCTATAGTTTGTACTTGTTGAGAAATTATTTTTCACTACGCCATAAGCATGGCAATTCTCTCACATAAATGACACATGAGAATTTTTCCCAAGAAAATGAAGGACTAAACAAAGTTAGTTGATATAACTCGAGACCAACAAGTATTTTCTTCTACCCCAGGCGCGTGTCCAACCTGCGGCTGGTGTACCGGAGGCGCGATGACGGCGAGACTTGCTTCGCCCAAATGCCGGAGGAGCGGATTGATCTGCAGGTAAAATAAATGCGGTTATTCATTGCGATTCCTCATTATGATTTATTTTGTCATTCAAAATAATGGAGGTAGTATCTTGAGTAATGTAGTCAATTGATGCCACGATTTTGAATTGCTAATAGAACTATAGCTTATTCAAATGTTAAAACTATCGCTAGTTGTCCGGTGTCAATCTGGCGTCTCATTATAATCGTTATAATTGTATGTAATTGTGACGTAATATTCACTTGACCTGATAGAGATCGATGATATGAGTCAACATATGGAAGACGCACGTGATAGATCACGCGATCAAGACCTTAGTAGTGAGCGGAAGCGAAGGCTATATAAAGAGCGCTTAGCAATACTGCGGGGGCTTACTTAAGGTTGCTAGCCCTTATATAGCCTTCACTTCCGCCCACTACTAAGGTCTTGATCGCGCGTTTCAATAAAGTGAATATTACGTCTCAATTACATACAATTATAATGATTATGATGAGACGCCAGATTGCGACCAGACATAGCGACTTCTGGGAAGTAAAAAATCAAGTGGCCAACCAACAAACTTCACTTCACCCATATAATCTTTTCGAAGATAAGTAAGTAATTTAATAAAAATTGAATCGTTATCTGGCATCGCAGGTAATTGACGCCAATGCTGTGCAAGAAACCTTCATCCAGCTCACCCGGACCAGCTTCAACGGGTCCGTCGGCCCCTTGTGGAGGGTGAGGATAACCACATCAACCCTTAAGGATGAACAAGTCGAATCACCATGTCAAGGTCTGAAACCTGGTCCGTCTCGATATGAAAACCATGTACTCTTTAGTCTTCATCACGGGATAACAGATGGCTTCACCTCAATCCGTCTCATGGGACATTTCATGAACCTATTAAACGCGGCGATAGCGGGAAACTTAGTTGACACCCATGAACAACTTGCAGACCTGGCGGATGTTGATCTCTACAGCCTAGATATCATGGGTAAAGTGATGTCCGAGATGGCCGATCCACAAGAAAAAAAGAAACTGGACAAAGAGTTCAATGGCTTCGCTGAAGTAAAACCGGTGCTTCTGAAAGCCATACCTGCACTCGGAGAGGTGGAGAACACAACCCTAAGCCTTCGCCATGACTTCGATGAGGCGTCGACCAAGAAGTTCCTGTCGCTGTGCAAGAGCAACGGCGTCTCGTGCCACTCCGGGTTCACCACCGTCCTCAAAGTCGCGTTGCTGGAACTGGTCCAGTCCCATGGGCTGGAGCAGGAGGAGTACGAGATGTTGAGTATGCACACCATCAATGGAAGGAGGTACTGGGACAGCAATAAAGTGGATACGAAGCGACAATACGGAGCTTGCATAGTGATGGGGCCCCTCTTGACGAAACTCCCTGGAAATGCGAAGGAGCGTTTCTGGCTTCACGCCAAAGACTTGCATGGAACTTTCCAGTCCAGTCTTGATAATCTGACACCCGTCAAGTATTCGATCTTCGCTTTTGTGGCTCCAGACGAGACAAAAGTGCCCGGGGACATTACGAAAGTCGTTGACGAGAAAGCAGGCGTACTTGGAAACTCTGGACCAGACACTAGTGATCCTAGCAGTGCTAGTCCTGATGTCACTAGCGCGCCTAGTGGTACAGGCACAAGCCAAGGCAAGATGCGGCCTTTGGCTTCGTTCGACACGACCAACATGGGCGACGTCACCGACTTCCTGTCGGGAAAATTCGCCAAGCAAAACGGAGAGCCAGCAAACGAGTACGCCGTCGTCAGCGACGTCACGCGGCTGACTTCGACTCACGCTCACAAAGGGAACATTTGTTCGCATGTCTTCCACACGTACAACGGCAGACTCATGTACAGCCTGGCGTACAGCTTGAGAACATCGCTGTTTCATTCAAAGCCTCCTCCATGATGGGCGGGGCATGTAATTAATTGTGTGAGGGTTGCCCACGTTGGTCCCGAGCTCTAGAGTCTACACGGCAGGGTTGCCATTTGGCTTTTTTCTGGACAAATTCCGCGATTCAGTTATTTTAAATTGCGGTGGCTGGTTAAAATTTATGATAGCGTCATTTCCTTACTAACTTTTAAAAAACGCGAATAAAAGGAAAATAGAATTTTCATGCCAGAACCTGCAAATATACTGGGATATATTGAGTTATAGGCCTTTTTTGTCCGCGGACAAACGGCCTATAAAAGGCGCGGACAGCAACTAACTAATATAACTAAATAAATAACTGCATTTATTTAATTTCGTACCATTAATTGATATTCAGGCAAGTTGTCTAAATTGTTCAGTAACTCTGGGTTACATGATATTGAACGTTATAAAAATAGCAATAATTTTTGAATGAACATTGATGAAACAATAGTTTTTAAAACGGATCACTTGTGAATCAAGTCACGAAAATGACAAAATTCGGCAACAGGCCATGGACCTATTTCTTCAGTGCCGACACGTCTATTCTAGCCTGAAATGATACCCGTTTGCTGCGGTGAACGTCGGTGAAAACTTCTACATGAATACTTATCCTCTGGATCAACAGAAGAAATAAAATTATGAAAAAAGTTGGACAAGTGAATATCATTTAAAATCAATAATAACCTTCACACAACTACTTGAACCTTCACAGTTTCTATCATCGTATAGACGCCACCAGCCGTACCTGCTGAGGTGCTGTATGTCTGCTATTCTGTTCAGCTGACAACTCGCTAACTTACTTAACAATATGGCTGATAAGCGAGGTGACATTTTTTCCCATGAAGTCACTGTCATCAAAGCTTTAATGCATAAAATGACTCATTATGAGTCTATCTAGTTGACTTTTGATACTGGATACAGCTGGTGGCTATGAAGTTTACCCGCCGGTAGCTACAAATAGTTGAGTTAAGGCTAGAATCGTTTTCTAATGCAAAGTTAAATCGTAGTGTTCAGTGGCTGCGGTGTGGGTACGAATTTTCTCTCACTTTGATACCAGGGTGGCCCAATGTGGTGAGAAAATATTTATTGAACCTCAAGCCGTCGTGGAGACGGTGGGGGTAAGAATGTGAAGCAATGAGTAAGTGATAACGCGCGTTAGTTGATTAAGTCTGGGTGCCTCCTTAACAAAATATTCATGCGGATATAGTAACATTATACATTTTATTGTCTACATTCATTTTATCATTCGGAAGAAAGCTAAAGAATCTGTTTAAAATTCAGGAGTATTAAGTTTACTATTAACAATGATGGTGAAATTATCAGCATTATGGATAGTGAATTATATTGATGGTGAATTTCCTCATGATGAATTTGCATGATGAATTTGTTGATGATGAATTGTTGATGGTGAATTTTTTGATGGTGAATTTGTTGAAGGTGAATTTGTTGATGGTGAATTTGTTGATGGTGAATTTGTTGAAGGTGAATTTTTTGAAGGTGAATTTGTTGAAGGTGAATTTGTTGATGGTGAATTTGTTGATGGTGAATTTGTTGAAGATGAATTTTTTGAAGGTGAATTTGTTTATGGTGAATTTTTTGAAGGTGAATTTGTTGATGGTGAATTTGTTGAAGGTGAATTTGTTGAAGGTGAATTTGTTGATGGTGAATTGGTTGATGGTGAATTTGTTGAAGATGAATTTTTTGATGGTGAATTTGTTGATGTTGAATTCGTTGATGGTGAATTTGTTGAAGGTGAATTTGTTGAAGGTGAATTTGTTGATGGTGAATTTGTTGATGTTGAATTTGTTGAAGGTGAATTTGTTGATGGTGAATTTGTTTATGTTGAATTTGTTGAAGGTGAATTTGTTGATGGTGAATTTGTTAATGTTGAATTTGTTGAAGGTGAATTTGTTGATGGTGAATTTGTTAATGTTGAATTTGTTGAAGGTGAATTTGTTGATGGTGAATTTGTTTATGTCGAGACGCGAAAGGCGAATTTGAGAGTTAGTGGCTGTAAAAATATGCTGCGTAGATACGACCTTAAATGTTCGCTGACCAGAATTTTGTCCGCCATCGTCCAGAATTCAAGATTACAAAAGTTTTCTTGCTTGAGAACATCGCTGTTTCATTCAAAGCCTCCTCCATGATGGGCGGGGCATGTAATTAATTGTGTGAGGGTTGCCCACGTTGGTCCCGAGCTCCAGCGTCTNCAAAAGTTTTCTTGCTTGAGAACATCGCTGTTTCATTCAAAGCCTCCTCCATGATGGGCGGGGCATGTAATTAATTGTGTGAGGGTTGCCCACGTTGGTCCCGAGCTCCAGCGTCTACTCGGCAGGGTTGCCAGATGATCTTTTTTTCCGGACAAATACCGCGATATAGTTTTTTTTCAATGCGTTGGCCCTCTAAAATTTACGATAGGGATACTTCCTTATTAATTTTTAAAAAGTGCGAAAAAAATGAAATGGAATTTTTATAACAAAACCTACAAATATAATAATATATATTGAGTTACAGGCCTTTTTTGTCCGCGGACAAAAGGCCATCTGGCAACCCTGCTACACGTTATGGCATGGAGACGCCATAACTGCATTTATCCAATTTTGTACCATTAGTTAATATTCAGACAAGTTGCTTAAATTGGTCCGTAACTCTGGATCACATGATATTGAACGTTATAAAAAATTAATAATTTCTGAAAAAAATCTTGATGACACATTCATTAGTTTGTAGAACGTATCACTTGTGAATCAAGTCACGAAAAGTTCAAAATCATTCTATAAGCAACAGGCCATCGGCCTATTTCTTCAGTGCCGACACTTCTATTCTATTCTATCCTGAAATGAAACCCATTTACTGCGGTGAAGGTCGGTGAAAACTTCTACATGAATACTTATCTTCTGGATCAACAGAAGAAAAAAAAATCATAAAGAAAAGTTAGACCACTATATATAATTTAAAATCATGCATAGCCTACACACAGCCACTTAAACCTTCACAGTTTCTATCATCGTATAGACGCCGCCAACCGTACTGTAAGATGACAATGTTGATACCATTCGTCCCTTGATATTTCCTGATTGATGTCTTCCTTGTTGAAAGATAAGATCCTTCACATGCGACATGTTCATGAGCATTTCCTTGTATTAGCCTTTCCTGTTAAACTTACTTAACAACATGGATGATTAGTTAGGTGTGATTTTTTTCCAATGAAATTACTGCCATTAAAGTTTTAATGCATGAATGACTCATCATGAGTTTATCTAGATGAATTTGCTACTGAATACAGCTGGTGGCTATGAAGTTTAACCGCCGGTAGGTACAAATAGTTGAGTTGAGGCTAAAATCGTTTTCTAGTGCTAAGTTAAATCGAGTGTTCAGTAGCTACGGTCCGGGTGCGAATTTTCGCTGTCCATAATACTGTCAATGTTTCTACCGTGTCTAATAATTAATTATTGAACCTGAAGCCGTCTTACCGACGGTAGGGGTGAAAATGTAAAGTAATGAGTAGGTGATATGAAATCGCTCGGCAGATAATTAAATCTGATTGCCTCGTTAACAAAGGACTCATGCATATATAATAAGATTATCCATTTTATGGTCTAGATTCATTTCATCATCGGAAAGAAAGCTTAGGAATCTGTTTAAAATTCTGGAATAATAATTTTACTAATGACAACAATGATGAATTTGTACTGAAATTATCATCTGTGGATGGTGAATTTGTTGATTGTAAAGTTTGTTGATGGTGAATTTGTTGGAGGTGAATTTGTTGGAGGTGAATTTGTTGAAGGTGAATTTGTTGATGGTGAATTTGTTGATGGTGAATTTGTTGATGGTAAATTCCTTGAAAGGGCTTTGATCCACCTTTGAGGTGGATTATAACGTGGGTAAATTTTTTGTAGATAGACATTGATCCCGAATGACTCATGACCAAGCCTTGAACTAATTATCTTCGCAGTAGTGTCTCTTCTATGTAACTGTTTACCCTAAGATGGGTTCATCATAATGGCCATGTCAGTGCCATCAATAACTGCACTTGCCGAAGAGGTTGCCTTAGGGATTACTGGAGCCGACGTTTCTGTATACGTGTGCGAGCGGCAGGTTTTATACAGGGACGAGCGAGCTAAAGAAGACCTGCTGGGCCTCTATTTCAAAAAAGATAAGAGATCGTAAGTTCATCAGCCAATCATTGACGGCCTTTCAAGCAAAATCCACCAATCATAGACAAGAAAATAGAGCGTAAGTACTTACGTTCCCTTAGCGAGTTTTGAAAATATGGCCGCAGGAACTGATCCAAAAACTAGACCTAAGTTGCCGGTTTCTAAAGATGGTATAGGCATATAATCCTGTTAAATTAGATTCGAAATAATTACTGAGCTGTTGTATTTACCCCGTAGCTCATTTGCTATTAATTTAGGAAGTTAATTAACTGGCAGAGCAGTGAAAATTTATGCAGCATTAACTTCTGAAGTGAGAGGTAATCACGAGTCATTGAAGCGTGCACTGCTTGATGCGTTTAACCGCACACCCAAGAACTGCCGTCAGGAGTTCAGATGCATGAAAATAATGCCTGATGAAACCTACGCTCAATTTGTTATATGACGCAATTCTGATTACTGGACTTATTCTAAAGAATTCCCTAAAACTTATGATGCTATTCGCTGCTTTCGTTAAATTCGATCAGTTTCTTGCCTCTATGCCAATGATCCTAGATTGTATGTGAAGTAACATAATTTGAAAGACTTGAACTCAGTGATAATATTAGCCGGAAACTGGGCTAATGCTCATAACGTATAGTCGTTTACGGTATACCCTAAAGTAAAAGGGACCAAAATTTCTAATGATGAACCCAATGTCCATCATCGCGCTCAGTCCATCTTTGTACAGCCCCGTGATTGGTCGAAAGTTAAATGCTATGCGTGTGACAATGTAGGTCACACTAAATTCAAATGCCCTCAAAATCCGCCTGCATTTAAAAGTCATTTGGGGAGCTAGGATAATGCAGAGAATGCCAAAATTAATTTCTATTCATGTACCAAGTTACGTCGAGCTACGTTAATTAGTTTGCGAGATATATTCCTTGATCATTTAAATTTGGAGATTGGCCCGCGAGTCCGGCCGTAAATTTATCCGAGACCTCTTCAAGTGTAAGTTTGTTACCGTATCTGACTATTTAGGGACCGCGAACTCATTTCCCTTTGTTAGATGCCGTATAAATATTTGCATGTCTTATTTTGATTGGGTTGATACCATCAGAGCACCCATAGAATTCTGTGCATTCTTGGTCAGAAATGTACCAGGTGTGGCAAGATAGGAGCCCCATGTCCATTAGACAGAATCTGATGCAGCACATGCTAGATGATCACGTCAAAGGTGCAACTGGAGCATCTTCTAGTGCATATGTTGTTGTAGTTTAATTTAATATTCATGCAAATAGATAAAATATCAAGTTTTCTAGTGTCTTGGATTAAATTTTCCCAATTTGTTGAGTAATATTTTCGAGCGACCAATCCCTGCATCTTCTTAGACTCTGACCTGAGGCATGCGAATCACGGCAAGCTGCTTGTCTTAGTTAATGACATAAAAATGCTAACGAGACTTACGAGAGAGAAAGTTCGGGCACAATTATTGTTGTCGTTAGTTATACGGATAATGAATTTGAACTTCTAGGTGTACTTAAAATGAAATAATGAATAAAGTAACAAACTCCATATATGAGCGTTCAGAGTATTCTACATGGAGACCAATTCACCTCATCATCAGCTACAGAGCTTTCAGATTTGTTAAACAATGAATATTGCAGTTGTATCAAAATAGTTCTACGAGAATAAATTTTAACTTTTAATATCCTTTACTTAAAACCTCGATTCCGAACGGATCTGCATGCTATATACATAATAAAACTAATTAATAACAATATATAATGCGGAAGAATAATAATTAATTGTCCGCTTCAAGAATTATTAAAAATTCGGTCGTCGATTCATATTTTGACTGAAATCACAAGAAAAAAATAATAGAAAAGGGACACTCTGCTCTAATGAGGTATAGGTTTTAGCCTGGGCTAAATCCACGTCGATGAAGTACCTAAAGTTTAACCCTCTACCGTCGTATGTCACTCTCCGGGAACGAAATTTTAAAATTAAATTATACGTAAACTATTGAGTGTAGCAGCCTGAAGACGTTTGTACGCAACAGAGAACATTTTAAAGTTGTCGTACGTGGCGGCAACCATCAGTGCAAGACATTTTACGCTCACTGCATAGAACGTGTCGTTTGCGGGAAGTAGGCGCGTGACAATGTTAGAATGTTAAAAATTAAATGTCGTCTCTAAGTATAGATGCAAAGAAAACGGTTCCCAGAGTAGTATGCAGTTGACCCCCACATGTTGGTAACACCTTTTGAGGTGTGCTTCCTAAATGAATGAAATATTCAATTAAATGTATTTATTGGAAAGCAAAATAAATAACTTATATAACGATCTCATAGACAATCGTGTCAAACTTCATGAATGATAATAATAGTTTTAAGTGAGGTGTAATTATGTGGAAGCGTTAAAGTTAAACGCTTTAAATATGAAGATCTTGTGTACATAAAAGCCGACTGATATAATTAAACTTGTGAAGGTCGTTGTACAGATAACACGAGTGCCATAGATCTCTCGGTTGTTGTCAGGAGAGCATCTGAGACAATAACAATTATGTAAAGAATTTAAAAGAACTGTTCAATTTGATGCATACAATACCGTAGTTATAATCATTAGTACGAGCTGAATTTTTTGTTTGTAAATAATGATATAAACTTGATGATCATATTGTTTTTAAAGCAAATAATTTGTTTCAAGGTCATGGCTCTGACACGAAGAACAGCCATCACTCTAAACACAGAGCTGAAAAAGGGGAATTTTTTTCAGCCAAATTAAACGATTCGGGCATTTTTTTTAATCATTACGTTGACCTCAATATATTGGATTTTTTCAATGTATTAAAAACCCGAAAAATTGGCTTGATGCATGTATATTCCAAATTTGCTGATAAATATTTGGTTTGGTCTTGGGGTATTTTTCTGCGCGGCTTAGCAGTTTCTCTGGCCACCAGCTGGCAACCCGTTATCTGAGTTATCTTCAATAGCTGCGGCCAGTCGGCTGCTGGACGCCGTCAGTGACGGGTGGTGTGTGCTGCATGTGGCTGCCGGGGTAACCGCGAGATGTTGTCATCCTGGGAACTGTGATAGTTCGAAGCGGCCTTGAGACACACATGTGATGGTTCAAAGCGGCCTTATCTAATGTGCATTTCAAATAATTTTCGCTTGTATACTGTTTTGTGGAAATATATAGGAGTTATTCGAACGCATATTCACGATATTTCTCGTGTTACGATATTGCGTTTACCAGATATTTATGTTTTAGTGGTGGAATCTTGAGCCATCGAAAAAAGTGAAAAACGAGGTTCAATTTAATTAAAAATCTTTCATAATTACAAGAAATTAAAGAATTATTACCCGTCAAATTTTAAATCGGGTGAAACGGATGGTCGTGGTTTACAAAGAGTTTACTAGCCCTATATTTTATCTTCTAAAATCATTATTCAATTAAGCAATTGTGTAATGGTCTCCTTATGATAAATTATATTTAGTTAAGGATTTATAATAATTACTGTGATGCCCTTGCGAGTCATGTCACTCTGGCGAGTCATGTCACTCTGGCGAGTCATGTCACTCTGGCGAGTCATGTCTCTCTGGCGAGTCATGTCTCTCTGGCGAGTCATGTCACTCTGGCGAGTCGTGCTACATTGATTATTAAAATTATAATTATACTAAATAACATCGATTAAATAACGGTATTATAGAGCAATTGGATGACAGTGAATAATATGCATTATATATACACTTAATTAATGTAAATGATCATCAATACCGACTTATACGGGGTAATGATGGGGCCACAGCCTCGGAGATAACTAATTATCAGATGCAGACGACAGATAAGAGCGATATCGTCCATGAGTGCAGATAGCTGGTGCAGATGCCGGGATGCAGCGTTTTGTTGTACACATTAAATTATAACAAGTAAACAGAACAAATTTATAGCTACGTTTATAGAAAAGTCCTGTCCGATCAGGTTCCAGGGTGAATTTCGGTCTTAGAATAGAATAGAATATAATATAATAGAATAGAATAGGATCGAATAGAAGCGTCGGCACTGAAGAACTAGGCCCATGGCCTGTTGTCTTGATTGATTTATTCGAAATTAAATTATCCAATTTCTTGAACGCCGTCAAACTGAACACCGAACATGACACTATCGCTACAAATCTTAAATCGAGAATCCTTATTGGAATTAATAATATTATAAATCAATCATTAAACATTTATATAAACTGATGAGTATATGTGGGAGGTTATTTTAATATTGATTGAAAATTATTTTCGCCATGATTGATTGCAAAGTTGAATATTTCAGAAACACGTCAAAAAGACAATGGCGGACGACGCGGCCATCGTGCGCAAATGCAGCATGTTCGAGTCCATGATGGACATGCTACAGTCACATGCACAAACCATGATAACATGTTACTGGCTGACGTTATCAACGACTGTACCCGTCACCGAGGAGACTGTCATGGCCGCCTTGAGGCAGCTGTACAGGTGAGCAGCGACTGTACCCGTCACCGAGGAGACTGTCATGGCCGCCTTGAGGCAGCTGTACAGGTGAGCAGCGACTGTATCCGTTGGCGAGGCGACTGTCAATATATCCTATCTATTTAAAAACTTGACTTCCGACTGTTTCGGAAATAAAAATTTCATTAAAATTTTCTTATTTGATGAATTGGGCTCAATTTTTCATGTATTGTATTGGTTTCCCATGAAATTGATGTTGGTTGAAATGTATTGATGAATGGAACTTCTCCAAACTCCATTGGGTGTTTGTCACCTGCAAAAAAAAGAGTATTTTAGAATTCGTGAAATTTTTTTTTTTTTCTTAAAAAGGCCTCCCACACTCACCATTCCACCAAAAAAAACAAGGGGAATTCGTGAATTGCCATTTAAATTGGGGTTACAGGAGTGAAGTGGTGATAAATACTCAATTGTGCTCGAATTAGGACATTTTTATTATAATTTCATGAATTTTGTATTATATTTAATATAATTTTAGAAACATTGAGTTTATAGTTCTTATATGATATTTACACTGACTAAAGACTTTTTTTTTTCTGTGGGATAATATATGCTTAAAATTGACACAAATAGTCTTAAAAAATACTCCTATATGGCTGGCTAAAAGGATGGTGAACAGCAAAGATGGTGAGCAGCAAAAACAAATATATGCGAGAATTTGTTTAGTGGAGAAACCTTGACAAAAAACTAGCCGCACTTTTAGCCTCTTCACCAATTTGAGAACATTATCACAGAACCACCCTTATCAATCATGAGATATTGAACAAAATTTTGAATGAAATTGACTGAAAGAACAACTAGTTGCCATTAATGTGAAACTGAAAGACAATGAAGTGCTAGCTTGTCTATTCAACTTCTGTTTTTCCAGATATTTCAAAATCTTGTTCATATATAGTATGTTCATCCACTTCTCTCATGTTGTTCAACTTCTCACCACACGATATGCGAAACAGCTTGCCCTTGATTTGCCACTATTGATAATTTTGCTCTTGTTCTTAATTATGTCGTAATAATTAATAATTTAGCGTTTTGCTATCGTGTAACGGCATTCATCAATAAAAATCTGGATTAAAAGCGTCTAGAATCCATTATAACCACAAAAAAAATGGTAAAGTCGCAGATAACTGAAGTTCGAACGCATCGGACTAAAAATGTAAACAAAAGATGTAAGCGAGCCTCCGATTGGCTGTTCAGCCACATGGGTTTGATAATATCATTTTAGGTAAGTCTTGCGTGTGAGTGTTTTGATAACGTAAAAATTGGGTGTACTTAAGATTTACGTAGATTCATGTGCGTAAGTACAAGAAGTTACGTGTACTTAGCGATGTTTTGATAATTAATCCGACCCCATGAGTAGCGACTATAGCAGTCACCGAGTTGACTGTCATGGCCGCCATGAGACAGCTGTACAAGTGAACGCTAGGGCTGTAATGTGACTCATCAATAGCGAGTGCTCGACACATTGTGATTTTACTTCGGGAGGCACGAACTGTAAATCATAAAGCGCGTGACTGTTACATGTGTGAGTAGCGACTGCGGTTGCAATGGGGGAACGAATCTTTTCATTTTCATATTTTAATCCAAGGCTAGTCCAGTTAATTCATGTAGCAAGCCGAGTTGCCAAAGAGAAAATTGTTGCCTCAATTCAGATATGAATCCATCAGGCATCCGACATCGAACTAACGTCCAATAAATGTTGTAATCTAAATCAACGTCATTTTCACGTAATTCACCTGCAGGAAAGATAATCCGGTGATCTCAATGTAGTATTGCATATTTTTACCCCAGGCGAGTGTGCAACCTGCGGCTGGTGTACCGCAAGAATAGCGACGACGACACTTGCTTCGCCCAAATGCCGGAGGAGCGGATTGATTTACAGGTAAATAAATCTTGAAGTTATTATTATACGAGGCCACTTGCTGGCATTTGCTTACTCTTACCTAAAAGAGAAAGTGGGCGATTGCCAGAGCATTAGCAAAATTACTTTATAATGTGATTCAGTTGTGTACATGGTGAATTGGATTGCATTAACAAATTTAAAATCGATCGTTGACTGAACTGTTTTCAAATACTTGCTGTGATTAAGGAGAATGATATAGTGAAAATTTAGGGATCGTTTTTAATTACAGACAATCGAGGCCGATGATGTGCAAGAAACTTTCATTCGGCTCACTCGGACCAGCTTCAACGGGACCGTCGGCCCCTTGTGGAGGGTGAGGATAACCTCATCAACCTCCATAAGTGTTCATGACAAGTCGGAGTCATTTAGTACGAAATCCAGTGAATTTGGGTATGAAAACAACGTTTTGTTCGGCTTTCATCACGGAATAACAGATGGCTTTACTTCAGTTAGGCTAATTGGCCATTTTATGAACTTTTTGAATAAAGCTATCGCGGGCGACTTGGTTGACTCAAGTGAACAACTCGCAGAACTGGCGGATTTTGACCTCAACAACATGGAAGTGTTGCAAAAGATTATGTCCCAGATGGCCGATCCGTTAGAGAATGACGAATTGGAAAAAGAGTTCAATGGCTACGCTGAAGTAAAACCGGTGTTTCTGAAAGCCATACCTGCACTCGGAGAGGTGGAGAACACAACCCTAAGCCTTCGCCATGACTTCGACGAGGAGTCGACCAAAAAGTTCCTGTCACTGTGCAAGAGCAACGGAGTCTCGTGCCACACCGGGTTCACCACCGTCCTCAAAGTCGCGTTGCTGGAACTGGTCCAGTCCCATGGGCTGGATCAGGAGGAGTACGAGATGCTGACTATGCACGTAACTAATGGAAGGAGGTACTGGGACACCATTAAGATTGATACCGAGCGACAATACGGTGCATGTTTCATTGCGACACCTCTGAGGATGAAACTCCCAAAAAATGCCCAAGAAAATTTCTGGATTCATGCAAAGGAGTTGCATAAAACTTTCCATTCTAATCTTAAAAACGTATTTTCTTTCAAGTATATTATCATCGCTGTCGCTGCTCAAGGCCTAAGTGCGGGATTTGACGAAATGCAGAAACTCTCTAACACTGATTCTAGTAGCCTTGATACTGCTGGTGCAAACACAAATGACACTAGCAGTGCTAGCCCCAACCCCACCATCGACTCTGGCAATGGCCAAAATCAAATGCGGCCTTTGCCTTCGTTCGACACGACCAACATGGGTGACGTCACCGACTTCCTGTCAGGAAAATTCGCCAAGCAAAACGGAGAGCCAGCAAACGAGTACGCCGTCATCAGAGACTTCACGCGGCTGACTTCTACTCACGCTCATAAAGAGAACATTTGTTCGCATGTCTTCCACACGTACAACGGCAGACTCATGTACAGTCTGGCGTACAACACGTGCTTCATGACGAGTGCCACGGCCGCGGAGTACGTCAGGATCATCGCTGACGTTATGCAATCCCTCCTCTGAGTTGTTACCTTCATATTTGGGCTGATGATGGAGGTGCTCTAAATGAAAAGGCTATACGGTCTGAATGAGCTACATGATCGGATTATTATTATATATACGTTCATCATTTGATAAATGTTGCGGTATAAAACTTTTTCGTGAAATTTTTTCAGGATTTGTTTGAGATTTGCATGTCCGTTAGGTGGGTCAATCGGCCTTAAAAATTCAATGGTCGCTTATCCTCTTCAGTTCGCTTGATCAAAAATTAGATTTTGCACAGTATTGCACCAATTCATTGAGATTTCACTGTTCATTATTTATCCTAAATTTCATGAAATAATTGTAGATGAATAAAATAAGCGTTGATATATATTATGGTTTCGTTTGCGTGGTTTATGTGTACATTGATGTCTCATTATATATGAGTATATAGAATAACACCAATTATGAATGGTTTCATAATTTTCCTCAAATGTTTCTTGAAATTATGATCTGAAGCTTCCATTTGAACGAAAATAAGTGAATGATTTGCAAAATATAACGTTAACCAAATGAACTCATTGCTCACTGAAAACTTAACTAAGATTGATTAAAATTCGTAGCATTAATAGAATTCAAAGTTTCTTTAAGAGATATGCATATTTTCACATCCTTTTATCAATCATCAATTGTTCTTATGGAAAATAATATTAAATTATAATTTTCTGTCTCCACTGATAACGTTTGGCAGTCCAGATGAATGTCATACTGGTTATTTCAAAATTTCAATAAGCCTCACATAAACGGCCGGGACTCTCGGTATTTAGACGGACTGAGCTGAAGCAAAATTAAACGAAATGTTCGACCGGGTCGAATGATGCACCAGGTTGAGTAAAGTTAGTGCCGAAATGTCGCCGCGGTCTACTGCCGGGAGAATGTCTGAAAGCTCCTCCAGCACGACGGTCTGAAGGAGCACATTCATGCAGCATGACGGTCTGGAGAAGAACTTCAGCATGACGGTCTGGAGGAGCACCTTCAGCATGACGGTCTGAAGGAGCACATTCAGCATGACGGTCTGGAGGAGAACATCAGCATGACGGTCTGGAGGAGCACCTTCAGCACGATGGTTTTCGTCAAGTGATGGCGACGGTAAGCAAACTGTAGGTGAGGCGTGAGACTGGACCGCTGAAATGCGTGACTTGGCTGCCAATGGTGTTTCGACATGAAATATAAAAAGTCATGTTTAATTTATTTCGTTTTATCAGCTTTCGCAACATGGGAGTTTGCTGACAGCACACGTGGGGCGGCAGTGTAAATAACGCATCAAATACATAAAAAATTAGATCAGTACTCAATGCAGTGAGTGATAGAGAGCGCACTTTCTCGTCCGTCCGTGACGTGAAGTCACGGACGGACATGAGTCACGGACGGACATGACGAGCACAATAGTGCCTTTTTTCCATAAATGAGAAAATGCGCTAAAAACTGCCTAATTACAAGTATTATCGCGTACCACACAGGCTGCACTAAATAAAGCTACAGATGTTAGCATTAAATGAATTAACCTTATATTTCTTTCATCTGGTCGAACGCGCTCTTCGGGTTCATTTATAATTGCATGGACATCCATACAAACACAGTCATATACGATAAACATAGATTAACATAACATAACAAAGTGATCTCGGCGCTGCAGTGTAGGCCTGATGTGGCCTGTCGCCGATTCTTTTCCTTTTCGTGCCTTGTTCATAGATCTAAAATCGTGTCATTTGACCGGATCTTTTCATGACTGGCGATAGTTTGAAGAAGCTACTAGACTTCCACCGGGGTCCATAAGGAGCTAGGCATTTCAAATCTGAACATATATTTTTCCATAGCTTTATCTAGTCTGTTCTTGAACGCGTTCATACTTGGAGCATCAACGACGAAGCAACTTGTTCTTGGTAATTTCTCTGTTTTTCTTTGCTGCAGTAAATAACGTTGAAATCTGTCATTTAACTATCAGGTAAATAAATAGCAATGCAGCCAATATCACAGTGACAATTGTGACTCACACTTGGCCATAGTGCTACACTCACACTTGGCGATAGTGTCACACTCACACTTAGCGATAGTGTCACACTCACACTTGGTGATAGTGTCACACTCACACTTGGCGATAGTGCTACACTCACACTTGGTGATAGTGTCACACTCACACTTGGTGATAGTACCACACTCACACTTGGTGATAGTGCTACACTCACACTTGGTGATAGTGCTACACTCACACTTGGTGATAGTGATAGTGCCACACTCACACTTGGCGATAGTGCCACACTCACACTTGGCCGTAGTGCCACACTCACACTTGGCGATAGTGTCACACTCACACTAAGGTCTCATGAACAAATAAATATTTGGACAACTCACAAGGGCGTGTCAAAATTGACGCAAACTTAACAATGAGTGTTGCACCTGGGTGCGAAAAGAACGAGTTTCAACGAAAAAATTGATGCATTAAATGTACCCTCTGCATGCAAATATAATAAAAATTACAGTAATGATAAGATACAACTTCAAAATAAGTTAACCTTTGAACTTCTGGTCAGCCGAGGTACATGCATGAGAGGCTCGGAGCTCCTCTAGACATGTCAAGATACGAGATTTGCATCATATTTTACTATCAAAATTATTTTATTATGTATATTTATTTTTTAATAACTATAAAATCAATAAACAATATCAATCTTCTGAAACTAAAAACATAAGTCAAAATTTTACCTCAAATCCAATTTATACATTTTATATCTATAAGAAGAACTTAAAAATATAACTCAGTACTCACTGCAGTGAGTGACAGAGAGCGCATTTTCTCGTCGACGAAAACGTGAAGTCACAGACGGACAGACCGACGGACGGACAGACACACGGACATGACGAGCACAATAGGGAATTTTTTCCATAAATGAGAAAATGCGCTTAAAAGATGCATTTGTACGGCGTCCAGACCGAAAAATGCTTATCTTGGCACGAATTTCTTATAAATTATATTCTCCTTTTTTTCGGTGCAGCTCTTCTGATACTTTTTAGCGCATTTTCTCATTTATGGAAAAAAGGCGCTATTGTGCTCGCCATGTCCGTCTGTCTGTCTGTCCGTCCGTCCGTCTGTCTGTCTGTCTGTCCGTCCGTGACTTCACTTTTTCGTCGACGAGAAAATGCCCTCTCTAGCTGTCATTCACTGCAGTGAGTGGCCCTACTGAGTTATATTTTTCTAAGTAAAATAAGCGAGCCTCAATTTGATATTTAATTCAAAACCTACGAGCCTCAACGCTGATACTTTATTCAGTGCATATATTTCATCTCAAACTAATTGCGGTTATTGAAAGATTTTTTCTGAATTGCTAACACTAATTCATTGTTAAAGTTATGTAATTGTTCAAATTTCAATAGTTATTTTCTTCCAATTGCAACGACTAAAAGATTTAATGGTTATATATCATTTATTGAAACATCCAAATTGATTGTTATTATTCACAGCAATTAACTGCTTCGAGTACTGAAACAAATCTGAAATGCTGCTCGCATTTTTTTGTGTCGGACTTCCAGCAATTGCTGCCACGCGACGAGTTTTTTACCCTATGCGTGCAGACTAGGCTAAAAATAAGGCAACCCGCAGGGTAATTTTGCGCTAAAAAATTGTGATGGATCTTGTTCGAAATCCCCACTGCTTGCATTAAAAAAATATTTCTATGGTTTTCATAAACGCGATCTGAAAACTATTATTACTGCAACACAATAAGAACCTAAATTAACAAAACCTAACCATAACACAATCTGATGCAAAACTAATATGAAAGGATCAAATTATTTATTTTCTATTCGAAGTTCATAAATAAAATTAAGGTAATGTCAAGAAATGCGAAGAATTTACAGCCCAGTAATGATGACAACACACTCAGAAAACTATGTAAGACTTTGTTCCAATAGTTTGGCCCTGTAAATAGGCGTATCAGTGCTACGTCTGCTCTCTCCTCGAGCTAAGGGTAAGAAAGTGACACTATTTGGACAATGTGAAGTCCTAATTTAAATCAATCAATTAATTCATTAAGTACAGTTCTCACAACTGACCGTTATTTATATATCAAAGACGAACTCTTACTTCGTTACATGTACGTTAACCTGACGTACATTGTAAACTGATATCAAAACCCGGGTGCAAGCCCCACACGGGCATGGACAGACATGCACTGCATACGCATGCCTGGTCCATCTCACGCACCCATAATAACGGCTTTATTTCCAAGAAAGCAAAGTTCAGTGCCTAAATTTAGTCCAGTAGGTGAGTTGCTAGTTTTTTTTGAATGTTTCGACGTTATATGGAGCTCTGGAATGTATGTTGCATGTCCCTAATGGCGGAACTTGAATTCAAGGATGAGAAATAGCTGAAAAAATCCGATATTAAGCGAAGATCATTGCCGGGGCTAGTCCTGTAGCGGTTGTGTCCGCACATCACGCATTCCGGCCGCACGGAATGAAATTAGGAAAAATAATGCGATAACAACCGAACTACTTTCGGGATAAGATAAATGATAAATGAATTTATAAATATTCATTTATCCATTCATTTAAACAATAAATAAGATAAATGTAGATAAATAAATAACAGCTATTGCCCATCAACACATTGATGACGGAGAACTGTTAACAGCTATTGCACAGTAACACAGTGATGACGGAGAACTGTTAACAGCTATTGCACGGCAACACATTGATGACGGGGAACTGTTAACAGCTATTGCACGGCAACACAGTGATGACGGAGAACTGTTAACAGCTATTGCACGGCAACACAGTGATGACGGAGAACTGTTAACAGCTATTGCACGGCAACACAGTGATGACGGAGAACTGTTAACAGCTATTGCACGGCAACACAGTGATGACGGAGAACTGTAACAGCTATTGCACGGCAACACAGTGATGACGGAGAACTGTTAACAGCTATTGCACGGTAACACAGTGATGACGGAGAACTGTTAACAGTTATTGCAGGAAAATAAACAACCCTTATTTTTATGACCTATAATCGAGGTAAAAAAATTTCCCTTATTTCAACACATCGTGTCAGAAGAATAGGTATCGAACGTGGAAATTATTTGACATAAATAGTGATGATTTGACTGCAAATCTCATTCTCAGGCCCACAACAGACACAAATAATGATATATATAAGGTCTTCATATGCTTCATATATGGCGAGGTCTTCTTTTTCTGCATGACAAGTTGACAGTAGGAATGCATTGCCTTAGCTTCGTTCAACGTCCTGTCTTGCAGTTACTGGGGCTTTGACATAGAAGTGATTCTGATTTAACTGAGATGAATTATTATTTAACATTCTAATGATTTACATTACATTATTTCT